ATAATCAAGCGGAATCGAAAAGTCCATTGATAACAGCGTGATCTTCATTGGTCACGTGCGAGCGTGCGCGTATCTCGGTACCAAAACGTCGGGATGGTGATGTTGGCTCGGTCAACGCGGAACAATCTCCCGTGGTGCATCAGAAGCAGAACACAACAGATTACGAACAAATCGAACAAACTGGACGAGCGGTGCATTTTCTAGAGGCAATTCAAATAAACCCATCCGTGCAGTTCGCAAAGGTTTCAATGTGTATACTCCATAGAACGGTGAAAGATGATAAAAGAAGCCACTCAGAAAAATAAAAATACCATTTGACCTATCCAGTGAACAGCATTGTGTCACGCGCCCGTGAAACAAACCCATCAGTCATCAAATACTGAACGCACACACGTTAACTGCGCAATGCACTAATCAATCCATACCGTGTACGACAGTTTACGATGTCGCAACCAACAAGAACAAATATGATAACATGAGGAGGCGGAAGGAAGTAGGCAGATCCGATCCTTGAAACTATTCACTTGATTCACACGTTCTATCGAAATAATGAAATCACAGTGGTCAACCAATCGCTTCCGTCCGCGTGTAACCAGTGATGATAAACTATAAACCGCTGGATGGCAAACCAATGAACAACAGTTACACAGACCGAGTTTTATTACTTCCGCACGTGACTAATCATATATTGTTTGCACTGTGATGAGTTAGTTCCTTTGAACAAAGTGCCCACATGGTGGTCGTACAAACTGAAAAACGTCACAACACGGTTGTTTCACGGAGATAATAAGATGAAAGTTCGTAATGGGAAAACTCACGTTTCATGAAATCCAGTGCAGAATCAGAGACACTGACATTTTCGGGAAATCTGAGACTCGCTGCGTGGCTCATAATTTTCGCATACGTGTTCACCAAAGTCTCCGAATAGAACGGCGTGTCCCCGTAAAGCATTTCATACACCAATACACCCAAAGCCCACCAGTCCACCTCGAATCCATAACTTCCACCACCGGCACCCTGTAGAAGAGATGAAGTTCGAGAAGGTTGACAATAGAACACAAAAAGGAGTCAAGAGAACTACAGTACTGTCCGTGAGTGTGTCTCAATCACAAAAGCGTCAGTGCGACGGGAAAATTCGGATAACGGATTATTCTCTCCCGGGTGCACGCGGAAAAGGGGAAAGGAGGAACTAGAGGAGGTTTTCACTGGTGGATTTAGTGGATTGTGCGTATTTCTGACAAACTCCATCGACAGAGGATAATTAACATGATCGGAATAGAAAAGAACGGAGGGATAGGCCTTCAAATGCATGTGTATTCAAGAACCTTTGTACTTCATGCTGATATCGATTTAAATTGTAGCAAGGATGTAAATCGCTCACAAATGATCACGAGAAAACTTCCGAAAGAAATATTGGCTCTAGTGAGAAAACTGGTGGTATAGAGGCACGAAGGTGAGTAGTACACTGATCATCCTTTTACCTCGGAGACGATTCAAAGACAGGGGAATCAAAACCATCTTCAATTTTTTCGCGACATGAAACCTTCATGAAAAACAACATTATCTATCGTCCAA